TAGACCATGCATCAGTTTCCCTCTCCGTGCTCTTCCATCTTCTGCTAGTTGCCCCCTTTCATTTACAAACCTGCCAGTTGATCTTCCATATTCTTTAAAGAGCTCTCTATCCCCACCAACTCTCAGGATAATCCTAAGTGATTTCAGTGTCCATGTGGAAAACAGCAAACATTATAAGACTCAGCTTTTTGTTTGCTTATTTGTTAGTTTGTTTTTTAACTTCCTAAACTCCAGTGGCCTTCACCTCTAAGCTTGTTTATGTACTCACTTCCATGGTCACAGCTGAGACTTGATCAGGGTCTAAAATCTCATAGTCTTCCCATTCTTTTCATTTCCCTCCTTTCACTAGAGGTATTCTTAGCCCTTTTTGATATCTAATATTCCATGAGACGGCCTTGTTTGCCCATCTCCTTAAACCTTCTCTTGACACCTTTTCCTTTCCCACCTAATCTGGACCTCTGAGCTAATCTCACTAGCATATACTGTTCCCTGTACCTTGGTCCTTCCACTGAATCAACCCAGAAAAAGTTGAACTTTGCATGCGCGGTCAAGCCGCCTTCTCTGTTGGTTGCCATGCTTGAGGAGCTGAGCACTGCTGAAGGCAATCACACCTTGCAGAGTATCACTACAAATTCAGCCTGTGCTGGGCCTTTTTTTTTTTTTAAGATTTTATTGGGGAATTGGGGGGAGGGGAACAGCATTGGGGAATTGGGGAAGGGGAACAGACAGGTAGACAAATTGCTGGGGTTTTTTTGTTGTTGTTCTTCAGTCTAGTTGTGGAGGACATCGCTTCACTGGCCCATGTTGGTATGATCATTGTGCTCTTCCCTGGTGAGGCAGTTGGTCACCAGTCATTAGTCGGCCGCTCACAGCGGCTCCCAATAGCTCACACCGGCTGCCGGCCGCTCACGTAGCTCACGCAGCCCACTGCAGCTTCACTGCAGCCAATGCGCTCGCTGGCGACTCACAGCAGCCCAGTTCCAGGTCGAGCTGCTGTTCATCATCTTAGCTGTAGAGGGCGAGCGTCACTGGCCCTCATATGTGGGATCCGAACTGCAGCCCTGCTGCTCAGAGCTGGTGCTCTCAAGCGAGCTCTTAACTAGCTGAGCCAATCGGCCGGCCCTGGGCCTTTACTTCTGTTGGCTTATGTTTCAATGCCATTCTTTTATTGCTTTCACCAGCATTTCAAATTGACACCAGTTTTCTCAAATTTCTCCTTTCATCACTATGCTCTCACTCTCTAGCCCATCTTGCCTGCTCCTGCATCAAAACATCTTGTGACTATCAGATTTTGTTGTCCTTAAGTTTGGGTCCTGTTTGAAACGTTTTAAATTTTATATTCAGTATTCGTCTTCAAATGCCTTTCCTCCCATTGCAAGGGGCAAGGTATCCCTTGTATTGCTCATATCCTTCCTCTTGTGCTATTATTGACCACATTCCCTCCCAACCCCTTTAGGATATCGATTCATCTTTTTTCAACTTTTCCATCTCAAACCCACCCCCCTTGCTCAGCTCAAATATATATTCAGATAGCCCCCTTTCTTTGGGAAAACAAAATCCTTCTTTAAGCCTGCGTACCAGTTCTGTCACCAATTTGTATGTATTTTTCAACCAAGCTTTTTGAAAAGGGAGTCTACAAAGTTTTCACACTTTGTTTTTAGTTTTCTCCTTAGCCCGCTACAACGTGGCTTTTCTTTACCACTGCTGAAACTGCTCACACAGGCACCAATGACTGCTCCATTTTCAGTTCCATGAATATGTTAAGTCCTTTTTTTCAATGGGCCTCTTTTTCATTTTGATGTTATTGGTTATTTGTTAATTCTCTACTCCCATAAACCTTCATCCCACTGCCCTGGCTAGGATCTCCTCCTAATGCTTAACTTTGTATTCTCTAGTTCTTTTGTTGCCTCCTCTTCTTCTATAGGTTCCTTAGATGCCCTGGTGTTCTGAAGATTTCTTTCTCAGCCCACGGTTCTCACTCTGCATAGAGTTTCCTAACTTTTAAGACCGCTTAAACCAGCGGTTCTCAACCTGTGGGTCACGACCCCTTTGGGGGTCGAACGACCCTTTCACAGGGGTCGCCTAAGACCATTGGAAAACACATATTTTCGATGGTCTTAGGAACCAAGACACCACTCCTCTATCTGTCTCCAGGCGGGTCTGCCCACATGCAGATATGCTCACATAAGCGTACCTGGCGTGATGACATCATCGCGCCAACCCCATCACATACACCCCTTACAAATACAGGTGTATGTGACAGGGTTGGCGCCATAATGTACTTATGCGGACCAGTCACACATGTGTAGAGAGCAGCTACTGTGTAGAAAGCAGCTGCTGTGTTGAAAGCAGCAGTATTGGAGGTAAAACGACACTTCATGAATTATAAATATTTCACAATATATAATTACATATTGTTTTTGTGATTAATCACTGTGCTTTAATTATGTTCAATGTGTAACAATGAAAATACATCCTGCATATCAGATATTTACATTATGATTCATAACAGTAGCAAAATTACAGTTATAGAGTAGCAACGAAAATAATTTTATGGTTGGGGGTCACCATAACATGAGGAACTGAATTAAGGGGTCGTGCATTAGGAAGGTTGAGACCCACTAGCTTAAACAATCTGTTGAAAATTATAGAATCTTTCTCCCCACAAATATAGATAGGCAACTACATGCAAAATTTAGTATAAACTTTCATGATCTACCAGAAGCCATATTAAGAATCTGCTCTATACATTCTCACTGAGTGATATTCATTCTCATGGTTTCATTTGTCTCTTTTATACAGACAACTTCTAAATCTCTTAAGTCAATCTTGGCTTCTCTCCATAACTTAAGATGCATATTCTTTCTGCTCTTATTCATTGCCTGGGTTCCGATCCTCCTGCCCTCTCACCCAGACCACTGCAGTAGGTTCTAACTCTTCTCCCTGCCTCCAGGCTTGTGCCTCTGAGACCATCCTCCACAGAGCCCCCAACAGTTTATTATTTTGACCTTTTCAGCTCCAAGGTCTGAGTCTCTATTTCCTGTAGAAACAGTCCAAACTTTTACATGACACACACCCTCTCTAACTATCCCTCCCATGAAAGGGACCCTTCTTGTGCCTACTATAATCTGTGCACGTCTTCATTATTGTATAGATGTTAAGTGGAAGTCCTCTTTTCCAGTGCTGTCAGAATTGAGAGTTGATCAGTTAATTGAGGAAGTTGATTAAAGATAGAAGTAAAAATAATAATACATGCATATTTGAAATATTTTATTTCAACTTAAAATATATAAAGACATTCATTTGCCGTTTTTTTTCACATTTGACCACGGCATTGTCTTTGAATGTGGATACGTGATTGAAATTCATTGTTCATCTGTGATTAAAATGAGCCCAGAATGGATCCTCTAGATTTCTGGTTTAAATGACAGTTTTGGTTTAAATGAAAGAACTTAAGCCATATTGTGCAGCAATCTGAGTGCAGGATTGTATGATTTTCCCACCACCAATTTTTTTCAGTTGCATTGTCCATACCTAGTTTAATAACAGTTTGTTTTTCTTATGGAGACTTACCTTCATAAAATCTTTCGAAGGCATTCTATCTTAGAAATAACAGTTGTCTATCTCTTTTTACTTATATTTTATTGGTTTGATTTGTATGGCATTTAATTAAAGTATACTTATAATACAAGAATATGGTTTGTGACTTCAGCTTAGAGGAGTAGAGGTACTTCATGATCAGAATGCTGTAGCTATAAGTTGTTTTATGGAGGGAATGGATATTATTTTGATTAATCTGACAAAATTGGTTGAATGGAGGTTGGTTAAGAGAGTTTCTATTGATTATTTTTATTGCTTATGTCCCTTCATTACTCTTTGAGTTCTTATAAGGCAAGGACTATATATTTTTTTATATCTAACCTTCACCTATGCACAGTACTTACTACTTAGTAGATATTCAATATATATTTGTTGGATGAATGAACAAATTCTTCTATAGGTCATAGTAAATTTGAATAATCAGAAAGAACACTGGAACACCTGAAACTAATAAAAAAAGAAAAAGAAAGAACACTGTACTGGGAATCAGCGAGTATAGACAGATCATTGGCCCTGGAGCCAAACTGAGGTTTATATCCTTCCTCATTTACAGTCTTGAACAGATTACTTTCTCTTTTTCATTTGAGGGATGGGGATAACAATGTTTGGATTGTGTGAGGACTAAATGGGAATGTGAAGTGTCTAGCATTGTACTTGACAAAGTAAATGGTCAACAAGTACTAATTGTCCTTATGATGCTTATCACTAATGAGCAGAAAGAGGGAATTCACTTGGTCTATATTTTCTCATCAAGAGACTTGAACAACATAACCTGTGAGTTTCCTACTAGCTCTAAAATTCTCTTTTTATAAACAATGTTTTATGTTTTAGACAGATTTATATAATAAATATATGGGTAGTCCTTGATTTGTCACATATGTAGACACAATTAAGTAGGTAACTAATTAGGTGATCTTAACCTTACACCTTGAAACACAAATATTTTTAGACTTTAGAGCATTATTTGTTAGTACGTTGAACTCTCTAATAAAAGTGTGAAGAGCAGCTCAGCTCCACTCATCACTGTCATGCTCTTTACGTAAGAGCTAAGGTAAGGGGTAGAGAAGGACGTTCTGAGGAGGTTGGAAGCATTAGCCTAGAAGAAGTGAGATAAAAGCTCTTGAAACTAGATTTATGGACAAACTAAACTTTTTGAACCATAGATGTGCATTTGTTATAAGTCTAAGTTTTGGGTTTTCATGTTGATCACATGTTCTTTCTGAATAAAAAATGGGAACAGGATGAGAAAGATAAAAACAAACTTCTTTGGAATGGCTCTGAGGTTATTTTTCTATTCTACATTTCAAATGTTGGTTTGCTTAAATAAATAAATAAATTAGCAGAATTCCTTTCAATATTCATTCTATAGCAGATGCTAATACTGAGTTTTTATATTGCAGTTGTCATTTAGTATGGAAGAAGATGAATTCTTTGGAGAAAAAACATTCCAGCGTCATTGTGCAGAATTCATCAAACATTCACAGCAGATAGGTGATGGCTGGGAATGGAGAACTTCAAAGGTAAGAACAGAAAATTTTATTTCCTATTTAAATGGAGGTTTTTTGTTTTTGTTTTGCCATGTAAAACCTTAGCAATTGAAGCTAATATATGAAAGCTGGCTTGACATCGTAAAAGGCTTACATTTCAAAACAGATGTCCATTTTATTCAACTATATATATTCATTATAATTAAGCTAATGAAGTATTATCTAGAAGTCTTTAGGTGACTTGCTTTAATTTAATAGACAAGCATACTTAGCATATAAATTATCTGAAAATAAACAGATGCTTCAAACCATTTGGTTGCATTATTAATTTTCATAGAAAACTACTTTTGTCCAGAAAGTGAAAAGATAACCCTGAAACCAAACCATAGTCAAGCAGTCAGTCAAACAGTCACAAATTCTGAAATATTGAGGGCTGTGTTAATTGGGAATTTCTTGATGATGTAAAGAAATTCCAAAACATTCTTTCTTTTGGTTCTGTTCAGTGATAATAATGTAAAAGGTCTATGTACTCACTTCTTTTCACACGTGTATTTAGTAAGGTTCTCCGCCAAAAGCTTTTAGAATTCTTTGAAATCCCTTTTTTTAGAGAATAAGTTTTTTCTACTTGACATCTTATCTGATTCCTGAAAAAGTGATGAATCTCGATTCTCTGCTGATTGGCTGTTTCCTTTTATATGCCCTCTGAGAAACATGAACAGTTTTGAGCTGATTCCTATGATTCAGAACTAGGCCATGGAAATGCAGGTTTTGATCAGGTCTAGAGTCTCACTGGGGAGAGAAGCCATCATTTCCTCTTGGATCATATTCTGGTTATGCTTTGGCAGGGTGGCTCATGGGATGGTTCAGACATGTAGACTCAATTTCCCATGGTAGATTCCAGCTCCACTCTCTCAGTTAGTGATTGGGCAGTCCATAAACCTCGAGGACATATCCTGCTCCAGGATAACATGACCTTACTGGCAACTTTTATTAATTTTGTTCCTGAGTACTTGATACTTTTGTTTGCTGTTTTATCTGAATTTTTATTCATATTCTTTTTTTTATGATTATTATTGACATATAAAAGAACTGCTTCCTTTTGTGTATTAACTTTGTGTCTATTCAATCATCTTACTGAATTCTCCTTTTAGTTTTCATAATTTTTCAGTGAATTCCCTTGTTTCTTCTAGGTAGAGTGAGGCCATCTACACATGAAGAGTTTTTTTTTGTTGCCTTCTTTATAACATTTCTCTCTATTATTTTATGAATTGATTAGAAAAATGTTAAGTAATAGTGATAAAAGTTATCCTTGTCCTCATCCTGACCTTAATATTAATGCTTCTGATATATAATAATTACATAAAATGTTAGTTGTTTACTTATTAAAGGAGTAAAGTTTTCTGACCCCTTTTGACCTGTAATACTTTGTATGATTACTCCTTGGGAACTTTTCCTTTTCACCAGGTTTTTGAAAAAAGAGTTTTTCTTTTATCTTAAGCTGGAGGCAGGATGGTATAGATTTCTGTTACTATTTCTGTGACCTAGGAGAATAGGGGATAAGAAGGTTAGGGAGGGAGCTAGGACTAGACTGCATGCATTTATGTGTATGTGTATGTGTTGGGGGGAGGGGCACAGGGAAAGATCTCTGGAAGGGAAATTATATGTGTCAGAAATTTCCTCACTGAATTTGTTGAAACTAGTGCCCTCAGAACCAGTTTCCAGGATTTGTTTTTATTCTTAGTCTGGCCTCTGCTCCAGGGGTGGGCACGGCTAAGTCTAGCTTCTTGTTTGCTGCCACTGCCTGCTGATTTAGGAAAATTCCCTACCATTGGGAGTGAGAATTGCTCGTCTAATTAAGGATAGTTCATTTTAATGTGGGGGCGAGCCCATAGATAGCATCGAAACAAAACAAAACATTGTTGAGAGAAAATCTCTATAGCTTTAGGGCAAGGACTGCAAACTCTAACGTCTGCTGAGACCAGGTGTGGTAGTGTAAATGGGTCCAACTGCCAGGGACAGGACAACAGGGACGCTGAGTCCTGTGGCTTGTGGCTGGACATAGTGCTTGGCCTATTGCCAGGTTGGAAAATGGGCCCAAGGGTTACCTGATCTTCCAAGAAAAATTAAAAAGATTTGAGGGGAGAAGTCTCTAAATGTTTAGATGTTGGTAATTAATTCAAAAAGATATATTTCAAACACAGTGAGGACCAAACCCAACGTGCCAGCGATGTGTCCTAACTGGGGCTATGTGCGGCTAGTCGATGACGTCTGGGATTGGAAGTCTGCGTGGTGGACTGTGGTTTCTCACACGCTTTGCCTCAGTGTGTACTATTGATCTAACGAGTACACGGGGCTCCAGGCAAAAGATCCCTCCCTTCTGAATTTTGGGATATTAGTGTTTTTGCTACTTAATTTCAGAAGTCCTGTACCACTTTTTTTTTTTTTTAAAGATTTTATTGGGGAATTGGGGGAAGGGGAACAGACAAGTTGCTGTCGTTTTGTTCTTCAGT